GATTGCATAGAGGATTGCATGAATTTGTTAATATGTAAATTGATAACAGAATATTCAGTTCTTAACTTCTGTTACTACTAACTGCTACTATTTGCTTACTGATCCAGTGAATGAAACCATCTGGTACAAACAACCAGACTTGCACTTGAAGAATTCTATTACCTGTTCTATTGTGGAAATGTTCTCAGACTAATGGTTTGCACTTGAGTGAGACTAGACAAGGTTCAACTTCATTCAAGAGGGATTGGATTTCGCCTCACACCCACATAGGGAATTCTAAACTAAGTCCTCACTTGACACCTCCCCCTTTACATCCTAGAATTCAAGTTCTTTCTTTAAGCTATATATTATTGTTCTGATTGAAAAAAATACATTTCATGGGTTTTTTAAAATGCAAGGATAATGTAAGGAAGGAAATAACTTTTTATATGAAGTAGTACCTCACTGACAAGCATAAATTGTTCTTTAGTTAGCTGTCTTTGTGTAACAAAGGACTATAATCCACAAAATTCAGAGCTTCCTCGGAACTTAGGGTGACAAGTGTAATAACACTTACGCAGCTGCTTCCCATGTTGTCATAGTTTAGAAACTATTTCTGCAGTTCTATCATTTTTCCCCCTAGCTTTACATCCACATACTTTTTGCAGTTGTCTTCATTATTGAAACTAGACAGGCTTCACAGAGACCAGCTAAGGTGACTTGTCTACATACTGCTTTGAAATGAAATCATCCATATAGGAAAAATTCTATTTTATTTTGTAAATGGAATACTCACTCAAGAATCAAGGTTAAAACGTTTAGCAAATAAGCAATCTAGAATTACTGACTTGTTCTGTTACTATAATTACATTTAACTTTGAAAGGTGCACAGATTAGTATTGTCCCTGATACATTTTCTACTTCTGGGTATTTATAAATTAAAGCATCATTACGCATGACTTTGGCCCTTTCATTTTCTGGCCAAGTTTTAAAACTTTCTCCATCATAGCCACTGTTGCAGCTTTTTCTTCAGTATAAAATCTTTTCAGAGCAATAATGTTGATCAGAAATGACATTCGTTCTCTCTCGTGTGCAAGAGAAAGGGACATTTCCCAACATTTATATGCAAGGTACTGTTTATCCTACAGAAATTATTCCTATGTCTCTGTTTTGCAACTTGTATGACAGAATAAAGTTGAATACAGGACATCTATGATGGATAGGAATGTGGTGAATGTCCCAATAGCTTCCATTTTCAGCTTTAAAAAACCTCTCCCCTTCCCCAACCCCCTTATGTATGCATTCACCACAATAATATTATTGTTTTACAATAGCAATCACGTAGTGAAAAACAAAAATCCTTGCTGCGTCTAGTAATAGCAATATTGAGGTTATTGAAGTTATCCAAAACACAATGTAGTTCCAGGAAAAATTCTTCATGTAGATGAAAAATGCATAAACAGCACATTGGACAAAGGACTAATGAAAAAGTTATGCTCAATTAATTAAAGCAGTGCAGTGGTTTTTGGTGCAGACATTCTTTACATTTCAAATCCTATTCCAAGCAGAAGCTAGCAGCACGTTTAAATCATGAAGTTTCTTTTTAAAAGTATTTTTTAAATTTGCAAAATAGAGAAAAAAAATGAGAAAAACCTAATAGATCAAAAAGCAAAACAACCCACAAAAACCAGCAAAAAATAAAATAAACAACAAGATTATATAATATATCAATCAAAAACGATTCAGGACATGCTTGAACCAGGACACATATTACTATTTGTTAAAAAAAATGTTTTGTTTTTTTAGTCAACTGTACATTTCCAGAATGAACTATAATGGTCAGATTTTCACAAGTCTGTAATCATAAGAATTGGTAACAGAATTTCAAAAATATCTTCAAAAGTATGAATGACAAACAGCTGAAATGGGCATACAGATTCTGACTTTAATCTGATTTGGGTGGAATTGTCCATTTCTAACTACCCTGTTTTGCATAGATTGCTATATATAATTTCAGATTGTTGCATTGCTTCAGAATTATCAAGGATAATAAAGAATTTGTAGCAGAATAATATTATGTGACTTACTGTTTGTTCAATAAGAAATGTTCATGAGGCCCTCATTGGGCATGGAGGCATTCTTGGAAATAAAAATAATGTAATATGCCAGTTTTTTAAAAACGTAAATGCTCTTTAAAAATAAAATAAAAACAATACTCAAAGAGACATAAGTTCATATTTTGTTTATCCTTGACATATTTTGTAGTCTGGTCAACCTTCTTATTTTTCAGTCAAAAATCTCTTTTTTTACACAGAATTGTTTGCTGGACTGGAGAAGCAACAGAAGAATTTTCTGATGTGGTGACAGTTAATGTGAGCAAAGAAGGGAAATCCAAGGAGCGATTTTCTTATATAGTACGTAATTTCTGCTAACTGAATTCTTAATCATGAATTGTTATAAGGAAAAATTGTGATTTCCAGTGATAAGCACAAACAAATGTCAAATATATCATTAATTAATAAAGACATATTAAAATTTAAATATGCCTTATCCACTGAGTACTTGAGAATTAAAGAGGCTATCTAAATCTCCTGTGTCACAAAGATAACCAGATCTACCTACTTTTACAGTGATACCCTAAACATGCACATTACACTAAAATGATTCTTAAAATAAACAAGTTATTCTATTCAATGTAAAGTATGTCTTTTTTGATAGATCTGTGAGTTTTGTTGTTATTTTTCCCATCAAGCAGAAAGTAGCTTTTGGAAAAGCAATTTAAATTAGGTGGAAGGAATTGACAGGATAATTGGGGGGGGGGTGTTAAAGATTTGGTTCTACTAAAATGATATTAGCATAGATATCATATGGAAGGAAAAACTCACAATTAGATTCCATCTTTTTGTAAACATATGGTCACAAATAGTACTTTTGGTTACCTTTTTAATGAAGGTAACTCTCATCCAGTTCATTGTGTCAGATTCAGGTGGGACCAAAATGAAAAGACAGGCTATTTTAAGGACAACTGTTTCCAAATGTTTTACATTACTCTTGTAAGTAATGTAACAATGATATCATTTAACAGCAGTTTCTATACCGTGTACTACTAAATCAGTGTGATTGATTTCCAAGTAATAACTTAAAATTATTTTCCCTAAATATCCCTATGATATTTTTAACATTTTTGGTTTGTCGTTGGGGAATGATAATAGGACTTGTCACAAGCAATTTAAACATTACATTTCTGAACTGAGATCTCACTACAAACTAGGAAACCAGTGTATTTTGTTGACATTCTTCTTTTTTATCTTTTTAGCTCCCAGTAGTGAAATCTATGTTTCCATCTGTTGGACCAAAAGCTGGAGGTACCAAAGTAACTATCACAGGAAATAATCTCAGTATAGGATCCAAGCTTCAGGTTTTGCTTAATACTACAAAAGAATGCAGAGACATCAGGTAAATATTGTCCAGAATGAAACATGATGTAGCTGTAAAGATTAGAAATTATATTTTTCATAACAGAAAACTAATTGAATAAGAAAGTTTTCTAAGAAATATGTTTTCCAAAGTATACATTGGGTTTTCAGTTGAACCAATAAATATTGGCCTTCTATATAAATTTATCATTACTTATATTAATTTTCCAATGTTTAAAGGATATACTTTTAATGGATAGCATAGACTTGGTATTAGTGCTATATTAGAGCTGTATATATAGGAGGGAGTATATTGCTTCCCTTTCACCTTTCAGTTCCACTCCAGGAGCCTTCCAGGCAGTCGCTTACATGACACCATTTTGTGTTACATTTTTGCTGATAAATAAATGAAAGGAGACTAGTATAGATCTATTTCAAGCTATTTAGCTCTCATCAGCTAGCCATACCCTTACTGGGATTCGAACTTGGGCTTTTTTTTACATATTAAGCAGTTGTATTAACTTCTAAGCCACAAGCAATATGCTCCTTCCCAAAGCACACCAGGTGCTTTGACAAAAGAAAAAACACTTAATCATTCTCCTGGCTCAGCTGATAAGGGAGGAGAGCTTGTGGCTTATAAATATTAGGAACACAGGCTAAGATGCTGAGCTTGTCGATCAAAAGGTCAGCAGTTCAGTGATTCGAATCCCTAGTGCTGCATAACGGGGTGAACTCCCGTTACTTGTTCCAGCTTCTGCCAACCTAGGAGTTCAAAAGCACATAAAAAATGCAAGTAGAAAA